AGTGCTCATCTCCATTAATAAGAGTGGAATATTTAACGTAAATGTGTATATCGAAATGAAAACTGAGTTTAAAATCCTTGTTTACTTCATTACTTTTCTCACTCTAGGAAAAGAGTGCGTACGCACAGTCAAGAGTTTATTTTTATAAATCCAGATACGTGCGTGGAAAACGTTTATATACATGAGGCCCCTGGTCTCCTTCCCTGCGCTGCAGCGTTAGCTTTTCTGACTAAAGGTTGCAGGCTTGCCTTCTAGTGGCTTTGGTGGCCCTCTATGAGCAGAATTAGACACCTGTGCTTATAGTCCAGGTGTCTGATCCACTCCGAGAAGTGAGAACTGTTTGTCTTGATTACATTTATTTCACAGCAGCCGCCTATATCTACAATCAAGGTGAGATTGTCTCAAAACAATCCTAATATTATTTGAAGGTCAATACATCACATCTAAACACATTAATACCATATGAATCTTGTTGCTTAATGTTACAGAATACATAAGTTTGTGCATCGGTGATGGTGACTGAATGCAACTATGGAGACTTAGTTGTCTTAAAGAGTTGATATGTCGGTAGGAATGAAACAAAACAAATTGGTAACACAAGAAATCACAGAAGCAGAAGTAGATATGATGGGAGTTTTTGTATTTAGTATTGCAACGTTTTGGCTTTAATGAAGAGGTTATAAGAAGTATTAAACCGCTATATCATTTACCAACAGGCAAGATTAAAATAAATTGTAATGTTTCTAACTCGATTACACTGGAGCAGGGATGTCGTCAGGGATGCCCCTTGAGTCCCACGCTTTTTGCACTATTCATAGAGCCATTAGCTCAGGCAATTAGAGAAGATACAGAAATTCTAGGAATTCCAATGAAAGAAACCGAACACAGAATATGCCTGTATGCGGATGACATTCTTATGACTATTTCCGAACCAGATTATTGAGTCTCATAAATGTTTTTGCTGATGCATATAAAGGTGGTATTCACAAGAAACTGGTGTCAAAAATATATTAATGTATACAGTCCTCGAAGTCTCACTCTACCTTATATATTCAAGAAAAATGGGAGAAGGAGGCGAATATAGTTCTAACGGAATTGAGTTTAAAAAGAAATTTCATATTAAATTAAATCAAATTAAATTTAAAAAAATTAACAAAATTTGTTAGGTTAGATAATTTGAGGAAAAATATAATTGTAATAATAATAATAATAATAATGCATAGTTGAATCTAAAAATACATTTCATATTAAATTAAATAAAATTAGATTATTTAATAAAATTAACAGAACAATTTGTTAGGTTAGATAATTTGAGGAAAAATATAAATGCTATAAAAATGTAACTCCATGACGACTTTAAATTCATAAACACTTTTGCTGGGGAAAAAAAAGGTGATTTTCGCCTCAGACAGCACCTCAAAAAAAAAAAAAAAAAAAGGAAAAAAAAAAAGAGTTGATATGCATGTGTTCTTAATAATATATACTTGATGCTTTTTTTGTACAATATTAAATAAACATGCATTCGCATTCTCATATCAACAGTATGTTGGGTAACACAAAATCATCATTCAGCTGTTAGCTGTTCATTTGATTTCACATGTTTATTCTGTTAATCATGAAGAAGAAATATGTGTAAGCTTTTGCATTGTCAAGTTTGTTGCCTGAATAAAATCGAGTATAAAAGCAGTTTTTTGTTCTAATGTAGATTTCACGTGAGCACCAGAGATTAAAGATTACAAATCTATGCACAAACTCTGAATGACAATAACATCCACTGCTTTTCATTATGTAAATAAGACAACTCTATATTGTGATTCAACACTTATATTTACTAGACACTTTAACTTAGAAAAATAGTTAAGAGACTAACCATGCTGACCACTGGAGTGCAAATAAAACAGTGTGTGAAATGAGAAGATGCCTTCACAAAAATAAACAGTTCTTCTGTTTGTATTCCACAAAGCTCTTAGTTTGTCTTTACCGCTCACTAAGATCATTTTAGCTCATTGTTGAATTCAAACTGTTGCTACAGCGATAGATGCATTTCCCTCTGTTTCGCTTTGAGTGGCACACATTTAACAATACAGGAAGACCGATAAGTTGCATATACAGCAATAACTTCATTAACATGCTCTTTTAGCACAATTTTAATTTTTTCCCTAAGGCTAAAACTTTTAATTAAATGTTAATACTTTTGGTGGAATATCTGGTTATTGTCTTGAATTCAACAATTGAATAATTTAGGTTTTACTGTGTTTTCTGGAACCAATTCAGTCAGATAATGATTCACTACAAACTCTAGATAGATTCCTGCTATCTGGGCAGATTCTGGTTAACAAAACTTTATACCATCAACAAATATCAGTCTGTGCAATAAAGAAGAACAACTAAGATAATTTTTGCTTCACCGATATTTTATTGTTGTTGCATCTCAAATGCATCGAGTTCCTGTTTTAGCCTCTCAGCAGCATTTGGTAACAACAGAGCAGCCGTTACACAACAGATTTCAGAACTTAATGAGATTAAAAAAAAATAAATCTTGTCACATGCATGTGTATATTTAATTAGAATTTGTAAAACAAACAGCAGTTACCAACTAAATAGAATACAGTAATGATCAGACAGAAATATCAAATACACAGATACATTACTGTATATATATTCGGCTAGGTTTATTTAGCATGTAGAAATAGGCCTACTAAAGAAAACCAACAATCAAGTGTATAACTAAAACACTGCATATATTATCAAATATGAATTAATTCTTATAAAAGATCCAAAAGAGATTCAGTCAAGAGCAGTGAGTGATTTTCTTGCCTTTTGTTGTTTGATTAACATTAATGACACAGACACAGGCAAGTAAATTACACGCTTCGGCTGTGTGTCAGCATTGAGCTCGCTGCCTTATAATACTATTTAACATCTAGCACATCCCACTCTTTATTTTCTCACTCATGCATGTTTCTTTATCACTCTTAGGTCACGTGTATATAACCTGTTAGTGCTGCTGTATGGATGTATTTGCTTACCGTGAAATACATATAGCAAAATCTCTAACAATAGACGTACCGTGGTACCGATATATACCGTTACCAAGCCCTAATATGAACATTTATTCAAATAATTTACAAATGAGAATAATACAAATAGTAGTGAATAATAATCCAAAGCACAACACAATGTAGTATCACACCACATTTCTTTAAATACAGAGCTGGGTAAAAGTGCAAACAATCTTTTTCTATGCATGTAAGGCGAGTTTATCAGCATAAATACAAATACACAGGTGCTTTAGATAAGTTGTTCTTAATCCTGGTCCTGGGGACCCACCACTTTGCACATTTCTCCCTTATTTAACACACCTGATTCAGATCATCAGCTCATTAGGTAAGAGCTCCGTGAACTGAACTATGCTGCCTTCACGTGCGATCGGAATTACCGTAAATACGAGTTTCCTACGGCCTCTCAGCCTCTCTAGTCGTATATACAACTGGGAAACTCGGAGATCATTTTTGCTGCCTTCACGTGCTATCGGAAATTTCCTATTTCCCACTTATGAAGTTGTGATTACAAGCTTGTCGTAGTCAAGTGCTTTATGTCGGAAAGAATAAAATGTAGCATCCCATTGGTTGACAATCATATAAAGATTCACTGCGCTACACGTGCAGTTTGCTGACAATTCTGGAATATCGGTCAAATACATGCTTATTTCACTGCTTATAAAACATACAATACGCTTCGAATGATCATTCATATCTAGCCTATAAATACACTACTTTAGCGACAAGACAAAGGGATGTAGTTATTGTGAGAACAGCACTGACAGCAGCAATGGTTGTCCCCTCCACCATGTTTAAAGATTATGACCCGCTCAACTCAGAAACTCTGGTATCAAAATTATTTCTGAATTTCCCAGTAGTAAATATGACTTGAGAGGCCGTTCACGTCCAATTTCTGATTAGGAAACTCGTATTTACGATAATTCCGATAACACTTGAAGGCAGCATTAGAAACCCGAGTTTCCGAGTTGGGCGAGCCATAAACTTTAAATATGGCGGAGGAGAGAAACATAGCAGTTGTAGTGTAAAGTTTTATTAGTTTTTCTCACAACATGTACATTGCTTTCTACAGTCATGTAACCATTTGATGCATATTGTATGTTTCGTATTGTAGGAATCGTCAGCCAGCTGAATATCTAGATAGTGCTGTAAATGTTTATATGGTTACCAATGAAGGGGACGCTACATTTTATTCAAAACCTGTAAGATATTGACTAAATTTCTCTAGGCTTTAATCAGATTTCCCCAAGAAACAGGCAAGAATAAATAGGCTGTCCACCTTCTTCACTTTGACATCAAAGCGCTTGAACATGACAAACCCATAATTACAACTTCAGAACTGGGAAGCAGAAAGGTTCTGATACCATGTGTAGGCAGCATAAGTGTGTCAGATAAGAGAGACATACAAAATGTGCAGAGCAGTTGACCCCCATTTGACATTCTCATTTGGTCACAGGACAAAAAAACGTCAATCTGAACATGATCAGATAAAGGGTGAACTATAATTTGATTATTATATAAAACACAACATGCATAGTTTGAGAAATACTGATGTGGTTCACATATATATTATATTTCCGACATTCATTGTCTACAAGCACAAATATCAAAGCTCTCTAAGACGTATGTGTAACATTAATAAAATAAATTAAAGGCACAATATGCAAGTTTTTTTTTTATTAAAATATCCAAAAAACACTAGAACAGTGTTATACATTTTGTTTACTTGTGTACTTACATTAGGCCTATCCCAAATGTTTCCAAGAATGTTTAAATCTAGAGAAATAAAGAAAATTGAGAAATAAAAATTTAACTAGTATAACAAGACTGTCATTGCATCACCCTACCAGTGTCATGCACCCTCGAACCCAGTTTTAAACTACGCCGGTTTCTTTGTTTTGAATATGCGCCCTCTAGCGGCGAAAATTGCATACTGTGCCTTTAAGAAAGCTTCATCAAAACATTTTCTAATTCGTCTGAAAAACATTTTACATTTTACAAGTTTAAGAAGTGCACAGGTTCATTTCTCACTTTCATTGGATGTATTCTAGAGGTGCATAAAAATCAGTTGTTGACTTCAGAATGATTGACACTGGTGGGTGTATCTTACTTCATCAAACTAAACTTGTCATCTGCTGCATATTCACTTAATCAGAAGCCTCTCCATTCATCATTACAATTGCTGATTTATTCATTGTAGAATCTGAAATACAAAGAACATGAGAGACATTAAAAAGAAGGAAGATCTTGAGATCAATTCTGTTGAATTTACCATAAAATTACCAATTACTAAGTTCAGTAGTATTTGAGCACTTGTTCTTTTCTCACAAATGATGACATTATTATATTTGTGATCTCAGTCTCCATAACATACAAAAGCAAGTGGAAAGTTGACTTGAATGATATAGATGGATGTTTAGACTGCAGGCAAATTGTATCATATTGGAAGAGCTGATTTGCTCACCAGAGACAGTGACATTGAATTCCCAGCAAATGTTCTTTCCAGATCCACTGAGGAAGTTTAGTTGATAAACTCCAGTGTCACTGGTACTGGTGTTCTTGATGGTCAGAGATCCGGTTTGATGATGCAGCTCCAGTCTGCCTCTGAATCTCACATCACCATATGAAGTCTTACTGATGTCCCCATTCATTCCAGCTGCTAGGGTTTTATCTTGATAGCTCCACTGTACCCGCTCACCTTTTTCTATGTTAAAGTCAGTGATTAGAATTAAAAATTCTCCCACCATCGCTGAAACTATCTTGGGACCAGACTCACCTGAAGAACAAACAAAGAAAGTTACTCGTACTAAAATAAATTTGATATTACACTGTCAAATTCAACTGAGGTATCATGTCAGTTGATATAGTTTATGCTTCAAAGTCACCACCATGCTCCAGTCTGCCTCTGAATCTCACATCACCATATGAAGTCTTACTGATGTCCCCATTCATTCCAGCTGCTAGGGTTTTATCTTGATAGCTCCACTGTACCCGCTCACCTTTTTCTATGTTAAAGTCAGTGATTAGAATTAAAAATTCTCCCACCATCGCTGAAACTATCTTGGGACCAGACTCACCTGAAGAACAAACAAAGAAAGTTACTCGTACTAAAATAAACTTGATATTACACTGTCAAATTCAACTGAGGTATCATGTCAGTTGATATAGTCTAAAAGCACTATATTAAGTTAACATGTAGTTTCCAGAATTAAATATGCTTAATTGGTCCCTGGGCCCCAATTCAAAAACCCATGTTCTAAACAATGCAAATTCAGAAATAATCACATCAATAATGAAATGTAAATAGCAGTTTAATTATTACCGCAACTAACTGTTATTTTGATAAATTATTCTGATTACTATTACTGCTTTCATTTACTTGTATGTAGAATATCAAAGCTACGTTTAAGAGGGAATGATCTGCATCCACTGCATGCAGGCCAAATTAATTAATTATCAAATTCCATGGGGATTTATTACGGATTAGTTTTTGCAGCCTTAGTCATAACACGTTATGTTTTCAATTTAATCTATTGCTGGAAGAAAACATTTTGAAGTGAAACTGAAAGACTCACAACAAATGAAAACTCTGAATTTCCTGTACGAGGTCCTTCTGCTGCTGACGATCTGTAGTTTATAAGGTCCGGTTGTGATGTTCTTGATGGTGAGAGATCCAGTGTTCTTGTCCAGCTGTAGTTTGTCTCTGAATCTCTCATCGGCATCAGCGTATGTGGTCTCTTTGGTCTCTCCAGTCAACTGAGCAATGAGATTGTTTTCCTCTCCAAACATCCACAGGAACAGATCATCTCTTTGTGTTTCGGTATCAGGGTTTAGAGTCACATTCTTGCCCTTCACCCCTAAAATCATCTTCACTGTGACAGTTGTGACAGCAGCACAAAAACAAAGGGAAACAGAGAGAAGAAAGGTTTTCAAGATATAAGTGTCTGTGCATGTGAACACAGTTTGACATTACTGCACAAAGACCATTCATGTGCGGTTTTAAAATCAACTTGATATGGACATGGGCTGGGCGATAAATAATATATCGAGAAGACAATAAAATGTGTCAGTAATGATGATACGCTCTGGACATTTTTACTCAATATGGATTAATATCTATCACACAGCAGAAATACAAGCGACAGCAGTCTGCACAACCCAATCTCATGGCAATTCGTATGACAGCAGAGTACCATCACAATATATAGTGGACCTTACAACATTAGTTTTAACCAAGAACTATTTTTTATTTGAGCGAGATTTCTATTTGCAAGTACAAGGTACAGCAATGGGCACTCCAATAGCACCAAATTATGCGAATTTATTTATGGGTAAATTTGAACAAGATCATGTCTATAATAACAATCCATTTCAGCCAAATATTAAGGTTTGGATGCGATATATAGATGACTGTTTTATGATTTGGTCAGGTTCTGAACAGGAATTAGAATTATTTGTATCTTTCATTAATTCAAAAATGCCATCAATCAAATTTACAATGGAAAAAAGTTGTGATACAATAAATTTTTTAGATGTTAAAGTAACCAAGATCAATGAGTCATTACATACAACGGTATTTCGAAAATCAACGGATAAAAACACAATATTATCTGTTGACAGTTATCATCCAGCTCCTTTAAAACATAGTCTACCGATTAGTCAATTGCATAGATTAAAACGTAATTGTAGTACAACACATGCATTTGATGAACAAGTAAAATTGCTATTTCAACGATTTCATATGAACTTTAATGAAATGACTCTCAGAGCAGCTCTGTAGATTAGAGACAACTACTCTCAAATACAAATTGAAACTGAAAGTAAAACTGAAAGACCTTCACGACAACCCGTCAAAAGTGTGGTTTAACATGAAGAAATGATGACTAAAATATATTACTATTGAATACTAAAGCATAATTCTCAAGATAATAAAAAAATATATATATTTTTAAGGAATGATAAAACTGTTAAAAGTTTTATTAATTTATTTCATAACACAATTTTTAATGATAATTTAGTATTTAATCATAAAACACCGAATCCAGAAAAATTGAAAATGAAAAAAATAATAATAATTTAGGGGAATATAAAGGGGCCCTAAATTAAAAGGTATCTTTTATCCCTGTGGAGATAATTGTGAACAAACAAAGAAAAAAGAAGATTGTTCTCGTGAGTGCGGATCATAATTTCCTATACTTACTTATTAACGGTAAATGAATATTGCAATAAATATCGATATAGTATGATACGGAAAAAAATATTGTGATAATATTTTTGGCCATATCACCCAGCCCTATGGACACTACTGACTGTCTTCTTACACTGTAAAAAAATGACCGTGATTTTAATGGTAAAAAACTGTGAAAATGCTACAGTAAAAACCTGTTAAATGGTTAACGGTAAGTTCCCCTACGATATACGGTGAAAAACTGTAATAGACATTTCAGACAATTTTATGGTAAAATACCGTTTTTGGAAGTGGAAAAAGAATGTATAATTTACAGGGAAAAACCGTAAATTGATGTTCCCAGAATTCCCTGCGTTGCATTTCAAATTTGATGTTTTTTTTTTTCTTTGAAATAACGATGTTTCTTCTTAGTTTTAGTTTAGTCTTAGCTTTATGTTTATTAGGGTTGTATGTTACATCTAATGTTGTTAAATTAATGTTTATTGCAGTGTTTATGTTTATATTTATTTCAGTTTCATGAGTGTGACACTGATGGTGTTTAGTGTGTGAATGACCGTCTGAATACTTTCCGTACCCACTGTATATATATATATATATTAGTATTGACCTTCTCAGCTTGTGGAAAAGCTGCTTGTGGTGAGCTTTGGTTCATCAGGTGACTTTCTCATCACCACCTGATTTTGATGGTTATCAGTGTAGGCACAAAACAGATTTCAGAACTTCAATAGGTTGGTATATTAACATTACATCAGTTAAAGAAATATGTTTTTTAATTGTAAATTTAAATCTGTAAACCCTAAAACGTTGCTACCTTATTTTTTACGGTAAAATTCTGGCAACCACAGCTGCCTTTTTTTTTTACCATAAATTTTACGGAATTTTTTTTTACAGTGTGTTTGTTCTCATCATAGTCATGATGTTGCCCATTACAGGGCAGTCGTGGCCTAATGATTAGAGAGTCAGACTTGTAACCCGAAGGTTATGGGTTCAAGTCTCAGCACCGGCAAGAATTGTAGGTGGGGGGAGTGAATGAACAGTGCTCTCTTCCACACTCATTACCCACAACTGAGGTGCCCTTGAGCAAGGCATTGTACCCCCAATTGCTCCCCAGACATCACAGCAAAAATGGCTGCCCACTGCTCAGGGGTGCGTTTTCTAAAAGTATCGTTGGCTAACTATGTTCATAAGTTCCATTGAAAACTATTGGTAATGACAGAACTTGCGACCATAGTTGCTATTGGGAAACGTACCCCTGGGTGGGTGTTCAAGGTGTGTGTGTTCATTACTCACTGCTGTGTGTGTGCACTTGGATGGGTTAAATACACCATACTTAGCCTCACGTCACTTTCACTTTACAGTTTGGTACAGGAGTCAGAATGTAGGGATGTGCCCGAAGCCAAATACCACATTCGGAAAGGAAATGACGCATTCTATGGAACCCCTAAAAGGACGTGGTGATGGAAAAAAATATGTGATGGGAAGAAAAATAAGTTTCAATGCTTTTGCATTGTGTCGCAATTATATAGTTAATTATATAGTATATAATTTGCAGGCATCAGGGAGCCACTATCATTATACGGGGATTGAAATCGCTTTTGAATGTGTGCTCGCTTTTTACTGTCAGTCAGTCATCTCTCCTTACTATCTTCACGCAATAATCTGATGTACTGTAATGTGATTGACTTCCGCAACAATCCTAACTAAGTCCCTTTACAGGCTCCATAGAATGCGTTACTCATTTTACATGCCTTTCCGAATCGCCATCTCCTTGCAGCAGATTTTCATTTATGTGTGTAACAGTGGAACAATGTAGCATTGTTTTGGATGTTCAGTAAGTTCTGTTGCAAAATGTACATCATAAAGCTTTTTTTTTTTTTTTAGGTATGGTGACAGTGTGAATGCTAAGTGAACCATCTGTATCATCAGTATCATGCACCATTTTCTTTTTTTTTTATTTGACCCAGAAGAACCAAGAGAACCAAACTACAACTGTGAACACACCCTTCCATTTCTGAAGACAGAACTGATCAGAAGTTTGAATGGAGCCTGAACAGTTTGTGCTGAATTAACTGCAGAACAACTGAAAGACTTGAGATACTCACCTCTCACAGCAACATTGATTCTCTTGATTGTGGTCCCTTTTTTGCTGATGACCTTCTGTGTATAAACTCCAGTGTGTTCAGTTGTGATGTTTCTAATGGTCAGGGATCCAGTATTAATGTCTAGCCCCAGACTGCCTCCAAATCTCCCATCGACGCCGTCAAATGTAGAGATCTTTCCATTCCCTTCTTTGATTTCAGCTATGAGAGTGTTTTCATCTCCAAACAGCCACAGTATCTTATCGTTTTTCCGTATTTCAGAATTAGTCTTCAGAATCAAAGACTCTCCCTCCTTCACTGACACGTTATTCACTTTGTCACAGCAGCACATAGAAACAGAGAAATTAGATTTTTACATGTGAGTTAGTAAAGCTTCATTGAGCATGTGGGTGTGAACTGGTATTCGCAAGTTGGTAATAAACTGTAAAACTAACATGCATAATAACTATATAATTTAACGAATACAACATTTATCTATATGTACGTGCATAAAGTGTGCCACACACGACCTGAAAAGTGAGGGCATAACATTTTGATAGCCATTTGGTGGCTGGCTGCAGTATAAACCCTGCCGTCTCCATGTAAACGAACGACATGAGCCAATCTAAATAATCAAACACTTCATAAGATTTTTCCCAAAGATGGTTTTCATCCTTTTAGGTAGTTCTTGTAATGCTAACGTACAGTATGTTACATTTTTCATTTTTCTAATAAGTTTGCTTTTAGTTAGTTATTTGATGCTATAAAAACAGGGTGTGGTGGCATGATTGTGAGCTTGCGATTGGCTCTGCGGCGAGTTTGGGCAGGACTTTGATACCATGGCTCCATCTCACGATCACTACTGCGCAGACGGGCTCCAAATGAATTACTACTGTGCAGACTCTGGGTCTAAAGGACATAATTTTTGCAAGATGACAGCGGCCATACTGACAGGTTTTGGCTTAAATTTTCCATAGTGAAAGGAAGTAGATATGCATCCTTTTTTTCTTTCTCTATGGTGTGCATTATGTGTACACGGTTTAATTGAGTCTGTAATTGCCTGTACTGTATCAATTCATAATTTTGTGCACTATAGGCCTAACATGTAATAAATTGAGGAACATACAAAAAGACAAATTACAATAAAACACCATATGCAACCTAAACTATTAAAATTTTGTTTTGTAAAGACAAAAAACAAAATCATCTCACAAAGATGCATTTAAAAAATAAACTGAAAGACAGCTACTCACAATTTATTACAACTTTGAATCTCTTGTTTGTGGTTCCTTTGCTGCTGCTGCTCATCTGTAGTTTGTAAAGTCCAGATAGTTCGGTTCTCATGTTCCTGATGGTCAGTGATCCAGTCCTCTTGTCCAGCTTCAATCTGTCTCTGAATATCCCATCAGTACCTTCATATGTTGCTCTGGTCTTTCCAGTCATTTGAGCAATGAGATTGTTTTCATCTCCAAACATCCACACAATCAGATCATCTTTCTGTGCTTCAGTATTATCAGGGTATAAAGTGACTGATTGTCCCTCCATCACTGAAATCATCACAACTTCATTTGTGACAGCAGTCCAAAAAAAGAGAAAAATTTTGCCATTAGATCGAGTGTGGATGCTGTTTTATCAGTGATCATTTTAAAGGGGTCATGACATGAGAAATCAAATTTGCTTTGAAATATCCTGCAAGTTTCATAGCTTAAACCATCCTCCTCATTATTAACAAAGCATTTATTTAATCAAGCGCCACAAAATGGCTCGTTTCGGATCTGAGGGGCAAGATGATGTCACCTGGGCAAAGACATTTGCATAAACTGCCTCCAGTCCAGAGCAAGGTATCGATGAATAGTCATCGTCTCACAATAGGCCCCGCCCACTGGCGTTCACTCGCTTAATGGCTGACACTTGATTATACTGAATGCGAGTGTCGCGTCGCGTCAAAAGCAAATAGAAATTACAATCACTGCCGCTATCTTGTCTACACTAGATACATTATACAGATGCACGTTCACTTTCTGATACAGTCCACGTGCTTAAGGCCCAATCCCATTTCTACCCCTTAGCCCTTCCCCTTTGAGAGGTGTCTCGATTCTCTTTTGTTTGGAGGCGTAGGGGTATGTCGGTCATGTTATTCAAAGAAATGTTTGCAAAAATCGCTAAAGTTTGCTAATGTTACACCATTACTGACTGCACTATAGTGCCACAACATATTTTAAAGGGGTCATATGATGCAATTTCTATTTTTCCTTTTCTTTAGTGTGTTATGTAGCTATTTGTGCATGTATAAGATCTGCAGAGTTACAAAGCTCAAAGTCTCCCACAAAAGGATTTATTCTATCTAAAAGAGAAGGCTGTTCCAGACCGGGCTGAAATGCCTCATTCAAACACGCCCCCACATGTCTACATCACGATGTTGAAATATTTGCGTAATGCCGCCCAAATGTTCATGCAAAGAAAGAAGGTGTGGTTTCAGCAACCGCAGTAGTGTTGATGCAGTCATGTCAGGGAGACGCTGTGTGTTTCTGTGCGAAAGCAAAAGCACTTTATTTGGCCTTCCGAAAGTAGATGCAATGAGGAATCATTGGTTAAGATTTATTTACAACAGAACAGCACAACCCAGATGTTTGAATTTGT